AGTTTGAAATCGAAATAATGCATAGTTCAGTTCATAATAAGATGAGTGTGCTATTTTTTCCTCAGATATTCTGTAATTAAGATAATTAAATGTGTTCCAATAATCAGCAAATATTTGTACTTTTTGAAAGCAGTTATTTCAGGAGAATCAATTTGTACAAATGCCTATTTCATTATTTCGGTATCGGCAGATTATTGAGACTTGAGGTGTTTCTCTCTCTTTTTTTTTTTTCTTTCTGCATCGCAATGTGCTTTAGTATCCCAAAATATGTATACCAAAGCTTAGCTTATTTCTAGATTGTAGTCACTAGACTATGTTTTTTTAATGACTTTAAATGTAGCATGTATTCCATACTGCAAGTCCTAGGGGCATTAAGGCAAGCTACATTTTGAGATACTTAATAGGAAAAAGAAAATTGTCTCTGAAGTTGTTTTTAAGGAGATTTGTAGAGGGGCTTTTATAACTTATAATTAATTCACATTACCATTCCGCATGTTCATTTAATAACTCACTGGAGTGTACTATTCCCATTGCTGTTGCTTATCTGTATTTTCTTTATTGTTTCTCTGCTTTTCTCTGTTTGAGAAGACACTTTATAATCATTTTAATATACAGGAAATAACTTTGATGCTGTCTGTCTGTAAGCTTTATGTGGTTTCTAAAGCAATTAAGTAGGGCTTAGAGATGCTGTTCTCCCAGACCATAAAGGCCTTAGGATAGAAAATAAACTAACTAGATTACTGTGGATATTAGTGCTGCTGCCAGGTTTGAGAGGGTTAGCTTAAGATGGGAAATAATTTTTAAATAGATTGTATTTTTGGTATTGTGTCTATACACTATAATGTTAGGTGAAAAATGTATTGTAGATAGCTAAGTGCTAGACCTACTCTTTCCAGCTCTTCAGATAGGAAGTAGTTAGAAAAGTAGATTACAAAAAATACCAGACTGGTCTTCAGTTTGGGGTAGTTCGGTTTTCTGAAGTACACCCACGCTCTGTCTTGGATCAGACAGAATTTTTAGCATCTGTCCTAGGTACCTGCAGTGCCAGACCCGAGATACTTCATGTACTATTAGCTGTGTTTGACCTTGTATAGACTTGATCTGAACGTGTAAATAGATGACGTGTCAAAACCTCTGTGTGAGGAACATAAAGATGAATAAATAAAATGGAAACTCTAATTTAACTTGTACGTGGGATAAAAATAGCCTGTTTTTCTGTTTTTTAACTGAACTGTTTTTCAGTTGATTGTCCACTATCCCCATTGCCCACGGTTGGAAATGCTCCTCTGAGTCACTATAGTTCCCTGTAGATCAGACAGAGTAGCTGTAGTTTCACTAGCAATAAATGTTGGCATGACTTGCTTGCAAAAGGTGGCTAAGAAAAGGTAATGTCTGAGTATAGCTTTTATTGTTTTAATTTTTTATTTAATTTTCTTGGAATTTTGCATACTGATTAGCCACACATTGCAGACTTCTGATAACCTTTACACTGACTGTCTTTGCTTTGGGGGCAAAAGAGCAAAGAGAGTCAGTTAGATACAGAGGTGTTACCGCTATTCATCATCTTTTCTTGTTCAATTAAAATTCATTTATTAATAATACATTTATTTGTTAATTACTAAAATTTATTTAATACTGATTAGATTGATATGCTTTAGCTAGGAAGTAACACCTACCAAGTACCAAATTTGAGCTTTTCTGTCTTTGCAAGGTACTGTGCCTGGAAAAGATGTGTTTTGCCTGGCATAGGTGTTTTTTTTTTTTTTTTAACAGTAAAAAAGAATAGAAAGTAATTAACTACTCTTTTCATAGAATAAAACATATTAAGCAACTTACCTTCCAGCTTCTGGAAGTTGGAAGTCATTTTCCTTTGTCAACAGTTTAGTGAGTTTTGCTGCTAATTTAGGTACTAAATATGTAGAAAACTATACAAACTTTCTTTGTAACTTGGAATTTTATTAGAATTTTTCATAAAAAGTCCTCTACAGTGGATCTGTGCATGTGATACTCTTTTGCTGACTCTCAGTTACTTCTTGACTCACTCATGAAATTTTTCCATGAAATTTTTCTTTCTTCAAGGCAATCAATTCCACATAAACAGCACAGGAGAGAGAGTTGTTTTATTGTTCAGGTTACTACTTAGTGGGTTGCAGGTAGAACTTCTCTTAAGTAGCCTTTTTCTAGCTATTTACTTTGTTTTCAGAATTCAGAAGGGCCAGAAAGTCCTTCTGGTTTGTTTGAACCAAGTGGCTGTGCCACTAAAGTCACCTTTTGCCATTAGAGATTAGACAATAATTCTGGAAACAGCATTTTGCCCAGAGGAGCAGAAAAATTATCGGGCAGATTATCTCGCTTGTAATAATACCTTTATTAGCTGCTGTCATGGGAACTTAGCATGTTTTTGAGTAGTGTCTTCAGGAGGAATAGAAAATTGGAGAGATAGAGAAAGTTGACAAGATTGAAAAATGCAATAAAATGAAACAGTAACAATGGAATTAGCTGAACTGGAGAAATTGATGTTTAATTTTCTGATCACAACTATGTGGTTTAAATAAAGATGTTAAGAGCTACCCTTACAAGCTATCAAACATCACCTCCTGATAGAAGTGTGTTCTATACAGAACTTCACTTTGCAGTACCACCACATCAGCTGTGTATGATCTAAATTATATTTACTGTTTTTTGTTTTATTTGTTTTTTCCAGTTGCAGAGGAAGCTCTGTGGAATCTGTAGGCAGGAAGAGGGGATCTGTAAAGCATCTCTTAAAGGAGTGCTGCAGGCTGAACTGTGAAAAATTAATATTCTGAAGATACTTGAACTACTCTCAATGTATAGCACATGGAGATTTTCTCATTGAATGTAGCCTGAGCAGAAGTATTGATGAGAGACTGTAGTCTGAGACATTCCATACATATAGTGCAAAGCATTACTGAAAGACACTGTAAACTACACGTATTAGGTAAACAGTCCTCTGAAGGAATGAGCTGCAGACCATGCCTTAATGAGATATTGGGGCAAAACTTTTCATCCATTTTCATGCTTTGACTATAAATACTAACATCATAAAAATTCTTGAAGAGGCAGAGCTGAGGTGGTAACTACAGGGTGATCAAAGCCTTAAGGAGGCACATTTTCCCTTTTTTATGGAGAGGCCTCTTTCAAACTTGTCATATGATGGATTTGAAATGAAAACTTAATGGACTCACAGTTTCCAGGACAGCCATCTTTCTACAGCTTCATTATTAACAACAATTTAATCTTAGCCAGCTCTCTCTTTTTTTTTGTTTCTGAGTTCTTGATAATTCTTTATTAAACAGCAGTATAAAAAAAAATATTCAGATCATAAGCTTTTAATGGAAATGTTCCAAGTGAAAAACCAATATAAAGCTAGGATCTCACAGATTTTACAGAGCTGTTTATTCTGAAGGTGTTCAAATTAAAATGTAGTTAGTAAGTGTAAGTAGCATGTAAACAATGTGGATGAATTTCATATGTAATCTGTATTCAATAGTATATGAGCCATAATTTTACCTCCCAGCACTGTATGAAGAATGATAATGCCATTTTTATGGCTGATAAAACCAAGATTGTATAACATTTGTCAGGTAGTGTCCTTGATATAGAGTCTCTTAATTCATTAATGTCATGTGGAAAACAAATGGATGTAACATAGCTCTTGGGAAGAAAAACATCTTGCATTAAGTACAATAAAATTTCAGGATGTGTGATTCCATGATCATGTGATTCAGGGCCATTAAAACCATTTTGACTTTTTATTTAAGTAATATTATGACAAATACTTTTCAGAAATACAAAAAGGCAGAAAATTCTCCAGTAAGACTCATGACTATTACATTGTTGTGACAGAACAGGTAGTCTCTAAAGTAACTGGGACAACCCTAAACCTGTATAGTATGACAGCCAGTGCCTTGAATTTACATTAAAAAAAACAGTCGAGCAGTATAGAGCCTACAGCCAAGAGTTTGATTGAATTTTGTTGTCTTATAAGTCTATATATAAAAAAAAAATATGCATATAATTAAATAGAAAGTTCTCCAAATAGACCCTTTGGGGAAGGGATCATCTCTTTCCTGTGTACTTCTACAGTGTCTAACATGGTTTTGGCCTCAAGATATTACTGTATTTTAAAAGCCACATAACAGTTATATTCCATGAAGTCATGCATCTCTGCACATGGCAGGAGTTTCTGACTTACGGACTTAAAATTGTAGTCACACAGACGATGAGGGAAGTCGAAGCAAGAGGGAACAAAGGCACCCTTGCAAGTGAGGAACTTGCCCGTGATTATGAAGTGGATGCACTGCCTGCCTGCATATTGAATCCAGATTTTGTATTTCCTTATCTAGTATCCACTTTGCAAAATCTCTTGCCTTACTGGCATTTTCAGCTAGCTTGTCATTCCAGCCAGGCCTGCAGATCCGGACTTTGCAGATGATCTGTCAAAAAGAAAAGTGGTCTGAAAAAGAGACAGTAGCCAAGTGACTTTGTGAAGAACAGCCAGAGTATTTGCTAACGCAGGATATTCATGAGTCCAGTAAACTGGACCCATCAGTAAACCGATTGGTGGTTCTCTGCCGTATAATGTAGTGATCTGCTTTGGTGTTTTAATATATCTCTGTACTACAGTAACTAAACTGCTAAATAAAGAGTTGTTTCAATGGGGAATTTGAGAAAACCACTTTCTTGGAATCCAGTGCCCCAGTCTGGTGCCCACCAGCACTGCCTGGTGTCCTGGGAGAAGCTGCTGAAAAAGTATCCAACTTATCTCTGATTTTTCTCTCTTTTCTTGCATCATAAACGTAAGCAATGTTGAGCTAAAGTTTCTGATCTTGCTTTTTTCTGCATAACTGTTAATATAGTTTTTAACAGTCACACAGCCTTACCCTGGAGAACACAGGACGGAGTCTGACTGAACACCAGTGTGTAAAGATGATTCCTTCTGATCAAAGTCCTTATGTTTCTGTCCCCGTGCTCAACAGCCCTGCGAAGTCGATCAGGACGGTCCATCATCAATGGAAACTGGGCAATTGATCGGCCAGGGAGATACGAAGGCGGGGGGACCATGTTCACCTATAAACGCCCCAATGAGATCTCCAGCACCGCAGGAGAGTCCTTTTTAGCTGATGGCCCAACAAATGAAGTCCTTGATGTCTATGTAAGTTTCTTGCATTTAGATTTCACTTCCTGGTGGAAAATATTTGTTCCAGTTACTATTAATGTGCAACACTAAAATCACATTCAGTAACAATACATTAATATTTTGTTTCCTTAATCTTAAAGGAGCATTTTTGATATTTTACTATTACTTTGTTAACTCCCAGCTTGCTCTAGATCATAGGAAGTCTAAAAGGCAACAGATGCCTTTTGCTTTCCAACTTCATAGACCCAGTAAAAGCAATTTTGCCTGTTCATTAAAATCAGAGGTAGAACCTACAGGTGTCTGTATTTTTTATGAAATGTATTTCTTCCAGATAGTTTCCTACTCAAGCACAGTTGGCATAGTTTTATTTTACAGTGAACTGAAGCAAGTAACTAGATCAAACAAGACTTCTCACAGAGTGATACCATCTCAGTTTTCTTTAGAAGAAATACAAGTAAAAAAAAGGTGTGAGATAGATCAGGGCAGTTTGAACAACAAGCTGTACTAGAAAATCATAGAAAAACAATCATTTGAGAAAGGAAGAGGGAAGAAAAATTGCCTAGGAATTGCAATTCTGGAGGGGCAATTCCACACAGAAGATGATGAAAAATCTATTTACTTAGTTGGGACAGGTTTTTACTGCATCATATTAAATTTTGAGTATAACTGGGACTGATTATAACTTATTATAAGATAAACTGGGTGTTCTGAGGTTATGCACTTCCATGTGCTAAAATTTATTGGTTGTAAAAGCCATATTGAATAGTGATACCAGTTGTGTCATCCAGCCAGTTTTGCTGCCCGTAAGTACAAGTGGTAAAAAAGTGAGCACGTTGTTCCGTAGGAAAACTAATAGTAATGGCCCTGATTCCTCAGCTGGGAAGACTTAGAGGCTGGTAAAGTTACTCCCCATTTGCTGCTATGTGATGTTTTATTAAAGTAACACAATAATTGCACAGACATTATTTCTATTTAAAGAATTTCTGATAGACTGCAGTGTGAGGCTGGAAAAGCCTGGAGGATTAGCTAAAAGGATTCCTAGATTCCACAGTACCAGCTCCATATTTTTTTAGGTTATCTGTGTGCTGTTATGTAAAGTGATTTTATGGTGTGAGCTGAGGTGTTTTTCTTGTCAGCACACAGATGCCTAATGCACAATGACCGCCTTACCCAGAGAGGAAAGGATCAGGAAGTAAATTAAACAGATATTTCCAAATAAGGTTTTTTTTTTTTAATACGAAAAACTCAAATCTATTGTAATTACTTTAAAGTTTTTTACTATTATACTAGCTTATTTAGGTGTACTTTTTTTTCACCCCTTCTGCAATGAATGCCACCAAGCTGATATAATTCATGGGCATAGTTTCAGCAGTTGCTCTTTGACTGGTACTGTGGATTGACTACACTCCTATCTGAGATGTTCCTTGTTAGACATGAGGAATAGAGTTCCTGACGAGCTGACAGCTCAGCCTCTTTTTCAGAACAGTACAGGAGGATGGAAACTGCAGAGTGCTAGATGAAAGGGAATCAAGCATCAGCATGACACCACCTTTCCCATGCGGGTTTGGAATTTCTAGCTGCATCGATACAAACCCCCTTTCTGTGGTTTGTCTCACAATTCCTGAGTTGTTTGATCCATACTCTCCATCTTCACGCTCTCCATGGAAGAATGAAGAGAGATGCTCATGATAACTCCAAATGAGTTTCTGTCTTTTTTTCCTCAGATCATGTTGTCTGTCTTTCAGTCTCAAAGTAATCAGAGGAAAAAAAAAGGAAAAAACCCTCTCTAATTTATAACAGGTTTTAATTAGCAAGGTAAAAGCAAAGCAGGCTTTTCACAAGTGTGCAGCACACGTCTCTTCAGAGCCCCGGGTGCGCTGCGCGGAGCCTGGCGCCCGCCTGCGGAGGGGCTCTGCGCGGTGCGGGTCCGTGTGGCGCCGCGGGGCCGGCGCTCGGCCAAGCCCACGCGAGCCTGTTTCGGAACCGCAAAGGGACAGGGCAAGCGCCTGCCCTGACAGACAGCTTTACAGGCAGTGTGTTATCGCGTGGTTTAGAGAAGTAAATGGTCTCCATGGGACACAGTTGGGTGGTTATTAGATTTGGCAAGGGAAAGTGATTCTGAGATGTGGATAAACACAGGGCCAAATCGGTGTTTGGGGTTAACAGGTGTAGCAAATGTAGTTGCTTTGCTAAATCATATACCCTGTGGTGTTGCAGGGGATTTTCTTTTTGGCCAGCACTTTGGCAGAACCAGAGGACTTGTGCGAGCCCTGGTATTTGTTTTGAAAAAAAGAAGAAGGTATTTGAAATGACACTATACTGAGAGACTTTTAGCAGACCAGTCCCCATGGTTGGCTTTTAAAGCAGCACTGTCAGAGGCAGCGCTTGAGTCATCAAAGCTCAACTAACAGAGTTAACAGCCACTAGTATCCTTAAATTTATAATGCAAGTTGGGCACAGCGTGTGCTGCAAACAGTTTTAAAGAGCTTTTGTCAAGTTACTTCTTGCTCAGATCTTATTGTGTAATTCTGCTTGAGCAAGCACACAAGCTGCACTGAACTTGAGCGGCTTCCTCATGACTTCTTACATAGGTGTTGTGCAGCAAGGGTTTAAAACCCCTCAGCTTGGTTTTCATGTGTGAAGGTAAGAAATGTCAAGTTCCCACCCATATTTCATAAGGAGCCCTTGAAGAAAGACCAATTGTGCTAGCTGCAACACAGTGGGAATCTGTTTTCAGGTGCATTGTCTTAATTGGGTTAAAAATCCATGTGAAAGGCTGCAGGAGGGTTGCATGGTGCAGTGTCCATGCTTGGAACAAGTCTGCTAGCTGGCGCTAAGCCTCCATCAAGCTGGGACCCTACTCAGTGACACTAGGAAGCGCTTGGTTTATGAGCGGGTACAAATGATTTCACCCACACGTGTGCGCCGCCCCAAACAGGTGTAAGCAATAAGCCTTAAACAAGGGAGTTAACCCGACCTGCAGCACGGGGCCTGAGGTACTGCCTTGCCACCACTTTGTTTCCTCCTCGCTTGTCTTTGCTCCGGCATCTCTCAAGCTCCTCATGTCTGCAGACACTTGGACAGGCTTCAGACGTGCCCGATGCTCCCCGCGTCGCCCGCGGGAATCTCTTGCCACCTAGTGGCAAAAGCTGAAGTTCTTCTCGGGCGCGTTTGCACGCTCTGCGCCCGGGCAGGAGCTCTAGGGAGGCAAGTTCTCCGCCATCACAGACTTGTTCATTTTGCAAACATTTTAACCTGATTTTTTTTTCCAGAAACAAATAGTCTTTTTGCATTTTTGGAGATAGTCATTAAACAAAATTTAGGTCATTTTGAATGAAAAATATTGTTACGCAGTTGATTAAAGTAGATTTTTAAGCACTAGTAGTATAACAAGTGGAAGAAGTGAATATATGGCTGTTTCTCTTTTTAGATGATACATCAGCAGCCTAACCCAGGTATACATTATGAGTATATCATTCCAGGAGACAATGTCATTAGTCCTCAGTTGCTTGCTCACAGGAGGCCAGGTAAAATGCCACTATTTCATATTTTTAAGCACATTCTGTTACCTAATAAGTTAATGGAAAAATTCATTCCATTCGGCTCGGTGTTTGTTTGCTGCCTTTGAATTGGAAGAGGCAGGGAATTTCACCACACTTCAGAGAGAAGTCTGCTTAGATCTGGTAAATTCAGCAGACTTATACTGGCCTATGAGGAAGTGAAGCTCTTCACATATTTCTACACATATTTCATATTTCAGTAGTGATTTTTTAGTTAAAATATTAAGCATAGCTTCTGCTTGAGCTGGAGTGTTGTATCCATATCTCAGAAAATAAATAGTAAGAGTTTTTCTCTTAATATTTTGAGATACTTTAAAACAAGCCTTCCCAGTTTCTCATTTCCTCTCCCACTTGGAGAGGATGAAGGATAAAATGGTTACCTTCCTGAGCTAGAATGTGGACCACTGGTGCTCCTAGCTCTGTGCCCTGGAGACGGGCTGTGTGCGCTAGTGTGAGGTTCAGAAGGGAAGCAGAAAATTGGCAAGTGACTTCGGTCTGATTTCTAATGTTGATGACTTGCCTTGACAAATTTTGGAGTGTGTTTGCAGTCTGTTTTGTAATGAGAAACAGCTGTGCAGTGACATGTGAGCACAGACTGCAGAGCATGGGACGAAGACAGGCTGTGGGAAATGTGGACACTGGGTGCAGTAACTACTGCATGTTGCATGGTTGGAGACTGTTCAGTTTTAATGTATTTGCTGGCTAAGACTTGGTTGTCTTAATCTAAAATAACAGAGTCTTCATAGAGCAGTACTCGGAAGTCTGTGAATAGCAGTTTAAAGATGGTTAAGATTAAAATTTAATAATACTCCAGTGTTGTGACTGTTAGTTGAAAACATAGACTAATATTTGCAAGTGAGGCTCATTATCTTAATTTTTTATTGTTGTCCATCATCAGGGGAGCCCTTGAATGGTCAGTTAGAAATTCCAGGAGGTACAAATCATGAGGATGAGGATTTGCATAGGGAGACAGACACTCTCACTGGACAGTCAACTGGAAGTTTTCCAGTTATTCAGCCAGGAAGATTTTCTTCTCATCAGCCAGAAAACCAGGTGCCTGCTGTGCAGCCACCAAGACAAAACCGAGAACACAACTGGAAACAGATTGGGAAAACTGAGTGCACCACTACATGTGGGAAAGGTAAGTGCTTCATTCAGCATGCACAGAAAATAGATGACCTGGGAGGGAAGAAGCAAGAAGGGAAGAAGCACTGTGGATACTCAAGCAGCTCTTTTATGTGCTGAGCATCTCTAGACCCAGTGCTTTATTACAAGGAAAAATCCTGTCTGTAGTAGTAGGTGTTCTATCTACAGAAACAATAAAAATACGAAGTGCAGAGCATTTGCATTAATTAATTTAAATGAAAAGGGAATGGGTGGCAAGCTGCTCTCTCTCACTTCCCTGGCACACAGCTACTCTCAACACTCTGATATTTTCTGTCCTTTCTTTGAGCCTCACAGTTTTGTCAGGTGCTTTGTGTATCTCTGTCAGCAGTTTTCTTGTCTTTACAGGAAGATGTCACAGGGATTCCACCAGACGTTTCCTTGCCTAGTTGAATATTGTAGTGTCAAAATAACACAACTTTAGAAAACTGAAGTTTTTAGTGGAGAAGTGGGAAGGTAGAGGAGATGGAGAGAGACTGCTAACGACTGACCTTTTCAGAGGAGATTCATACAGTACTTTAAGCTTGCCAGTCAAATCTCTGCCATAAAACATTCACAGTGATTACCAATTTAAAAAGGCATGACACTAGCTATTATTTGGAAGAAAACATTTTTGTAGTCATAAGAATGACCATACCTGAAAAATCAGAGCTAAGAAATACAAACCTGACAGTGAAGGAAGTTAGCTGAGAAGATTGTCACCAGATCTCCTACACTGACATCTGCTTCCCAATGAATCACATTCTGCAATGGCAGGACACATTGAAATTTGGTCCAAGGCCAGACAATTACCCACATTATAGTTACAGATACAACTAAGAGAAAAGCCAAATTACTTCTGAATTGCATACACTCTTATAAAGATGGTAGAGAGACTCTTTTGGGAAATGCGGTCATTCTTTCGCAGCAGAAAATTTGCCTTGCTGCATTAAAGTGTTTCTAAAGCAGGACAGATGCAGATAACTTTAACTGGGAAATATACTCTTGAGAACACCCCGATTAGAAAGATACAACATTTGTTTTTGTGGGGGCAGGGAATGGGTTTAATTTTCTTTAAATACCTATTTTTATCCTCAGGAGTAAAGCTAACCTACAGCAAGAATGTTAATGTATATGTAGTATTCTGGTCTGCATCTGTATTATCACCGTAATGAGTTTCAATAATTATTTACAAAGCATGCAATTTTTTTTGTTGTTGTTGTTGTTTGTTTTTTTCCTTCTTTCTCCTGGACAATATACTAAGAAATGTGTCTTGTTTGGAGAACTAACTGCAAAAGTAGGCTCTACAGTACAGCGGATAAAGCCAGATAACACTTGGGAGTCAGCCTTCTTGTGGAGGAAAGAAGAAAGTGTAAACGAGAATTATTTCGGTTAATACTTAGAGGTGACTTGGATATGGGCAGACTCCTTAATTGCACCTGACTATTATTTAGCAACAACCAGTGGGTGGCTTTATCTTGTATGTGGTGAATTGTGTATGCAAATTATAGGATGCAGGTGCACAAACACCTCAGGGTAGGCTGAGTTTTCCAAGGCTTCCTAGTGGGAGGGGACTACTGGAAGGGTGGAAGTCTTGATTGTGATTTCTAAAGACCTTATTTGCCTTTGGACATTGTTTTTGCCATGTCTTCAGAGATGTGGTAGCCATTGGCAGTAGTATCACTGAAATCTCAGTCAAAATGATAATAGCAAAATTGTAGAAATGTAGAATTCCCATGATATTTTCAGTCTTCGATGCTGCTTCAATCTCTTCCACAAAACTAAACCGAACTGTTAAAAAAAAAATCTCCATTTGGTGAACATGTGCATTCTCAGATCAAGCTACTTTTAAAGACCAAGCAAACCACAAAAAGGGATCTTGAGAGGAGGTTCTTGACGCTATTAGGATTGTACAAATCTTCCTTACGTCTTGACCTGGGAAGTCTTAATGAATCTCTGGTGCCTCTAAGGCACTTGGAGTCAAACCATGTATACAGGCTGCTGAATATAGAGTGAAAAAATCACACCAAAAGGTTTGTGCTAATTAAAGCACTTTCCTCATTTTGTGTCATTCAACATGGAATACTTGCTGGTTTTTCTTCTGTATCCTTTCTTTCTTTTTCTTTCTTTTTTTCCCTTTCTGTTTCTGATTGACTTTGTCGTCTTTGCAGGTTTGCCTTTTTTTCCCCCTACTTTTTTTTCCTCTAGGCAGAGATGTAGATGATGCCTGGTTTTTAAATTTCTTCATTTTTTTTCTAAATAAAATGTTAATTTAACTTTGAAAAAATATTTTTCAAAATGAAATTTTAATTAAGTTTGGGAAAATTTGAACTTGGGAAGAGAGCGAAAAATATTTCTGTGGTAGCAAAGCAATAGTAGTAGTAAAAGATGCTATTATCATAAATAATCAAAAATGCTTCACATGAGAACCACCCTTGTCCCCTTGTCCCAGGTTTCCCTTAAAATGACTGAGAAATGGGAGATCTTGGGCAGTTTGGGCACTCCTGTCAGGTCAGGGCGTGGGAGGGTCTTTCCCACAAGGTCCCCGTGGGCAGTGAGAGCCAGGCCTGGCGCTGCCGCCCGCCGGCCCTTGGGGCGCAGCCTGGGCGAGCAAGCTCCTTCCACCCGGGATCTTTACCTCGGATTTTGGAGAATACACGAGCGTTTTCTGCAGTATTAGTGTAAGTTAGCTGGTGAGGTGCAAGGCCTTCCTTCATAGAACTTTTGAGGAACCATTACTTCTGTGAAAATCATAATCTTCTGTCCTGAAATTGCAGTGTGTCAGCCAAAAGTTACTGTCAACCAGAATCGTCCTAATTTTACTCAAAAATGGTAGATATGAAGTCAAATTACTACAGAACTTTACTGCAATCGTATTTCGAACACACCTGTGTTTGAATACATCTCTTTCCTTCCTGCTGCTTGCCAACAAGCCCAAGTTACCTTCATACTGCGGGGCAAAGGAATTTGGCTATTCAAAATTTGATAAAACAACTGAAAACTTAAAAAAAATTAACATTCACCATTAAAACTCTAGGGATTGCGAGCTCCAGAAGGTAAGATTGGCAGTTAGTTAATGGATGTTAGCCTCAAACTGCGGGTTCAACTGGATGCCTGGACTAGAAAGCTGCAAAACGCTGGACGTCCAACTGGTGGCCTGAGATCTCGCGTCAACAATCTCATGAACCAGTATTACACACAGTGCAGGCCTTGATGAGGCCACATTTGAGATGTGTGAGCTTTAACTCTTGAAACCAAGCTCTCTTCTGCACTCTCTTTTGACCCAAACACAAATAAATAAATAAGGAAAAAGAAAAAAGCAGCTGAATATTCTCTGCAAATTGCCTCTCTCTCTGAATTCAGGAAGGTGACTTCTCCTTTGCTTGGAGTTGTACAGTTAGGCCTTTGTAAACATGTAGGCATTTATTTTTCATCTAAGGAACAGAAAATGTTCTACATTTGGTAGAAAGATGAAGTTGCTGAACTGATAATTAATAACCTTTTTTTCTCATATCTGTCCAGTAATATGGAGAAAAAACACTTTACTGAAAGGCTGTAATCCTACTAATGCTTGGTCTAGAGATACTTTGCATGCAGTACATTGAGGAGATACTGTGGTAGCTTTCCTAGTTAAACACAGATTTTTGGGGAAAGAATGGTGTGAACGCAGTAGCAGCCCTGTTTGATTGATCCACCAGGTGCATTTTGCCTTTTAACTGCTTCTATTCCCAATTGCAGACAGTGAGCATTAGACATTTCTGACTGTCCTCAGGCTGTACACTCCATTTTCTCAAATTCTGGAGTATATTAGTGTTAAAAATCACTCAGTTAAGTTTTAGTCTAGAAACAAATCTTTTTCTCGGAACAAGTACACATTATCCATGCGTTTCAAAGACAAAACAACAAACACAAAATCTGGGAAGAACAACTAGTAGGAGGAGGAAAGCATTCCAGGAAATGTTTGTGGGAAGAAGTGTAAGCTGAGTATCTGCTTGTCTTCTTAAATAACATTCCATTCGGGTTTATTGCATTCTGTGGTATAAACTTGCTTGGAGCCTAAGCTAAATGTTTCTGTTCGCAGTTTATTTTCTTGTTTGTGGGTTTTTTTGTTTTTTTGGGTTTTTTTTGTTTTGTTTTGCTGCCCACTTGTCAATGTCTAACTGTGAGGCCTTCAACACCAAAACTTATTAGCAATTTGGAAGGTTTTTGTGTGTGTTTTTTTTTTTTCTTTTTTTTTAGTAGAACATCCTAAAACAGCTAAAATAGCCTAATTTTTATAATGTGTTGGTTAGTGTCAGGCAGTTGAACTGGCAGTGGTGGACTGCATCTTAAAGCACTTCTGTTTGGCTGAGCCCTATTTCATTTTTAATCAAGTGGCTCTATTACCATGGAGGCACCTCAGGGCCTTGTGCGTCCTTGCTGCACCCCTGCAGGAGCAGGGGTTGCTCTTGCTTTATATGATAGAAAAATGGCACAGAGAGAGTCAGCAGAACTTGGGCCTACCTTCTAAAAGGGAGTTAAAGATTGTACAACTTCTGTAGAAATGAGAAAGGAATTGTGTGTGGATGAAGGAGATAAATCTTTTTCAACCTAATAAATAGAAGTATAGGAGCTGTGTTCCTGTTTGAATATGCAAAAATTGACTCTTTCAATAAGTAGACACCTTAGCACCTTGCTCTTTTTGTAATCTCTGCACTATAAAGATTTCATGCAGATAAAATATAGCATGCTTTCTCAACCTTTCCTGCAATGCTATGCTGTACTTTCTATATATGAAGCACTTCCCATAATATTATAATGCAAATAATATAGGATTCAGCTTTCACTTGCTTTGGGATATTTTGGATAAAAACTTAGTCTAGATTTCCTGTTGTAAAGTTATGCTTTTCCTTTCTGCATCAGGGTTGGATCCTGTTGCTATGTCAGGTTTATATTGCAGAATCTTTTGCAGTGCATCACCTAATTTTTGTTTTGTCATTGCAGGGTCCCAGTACCCCATTTTCCACTGTGTCAACAGAATCACTCACGAGGAGGTTCCTGAGGGTTACTGTGACAGCAGCACCAAGCCTATTCCAGAAGAGGAGGCCTGCAACCTCTTCCCATGTCCAGCTTTGTAAGGCATTCTGATTTAAGTTGACTGAAGTAACAAACTTAAGATCACTGAAGTTTTGCATATGAAAGACGCTATTTTAAGTAGGAAACTAGCTTGAGCTATGAAGTTATCTCATTAAGTGCAATGGATATTCTCCCTTAACTATTGGTGGCCTTCTTTTCTTTGTAGGTATTAATTTCATAAGTATTAATAGCACTCAGAGAACATAAAAGGGAAGTTTGTGTGATTGTTCAGGCACACACCATACCTGTAGTCTCTCTTTGGGAATATTTTTTTTTTCCGAGTGACAGGCTTCAGCATGTGTCTGTCTAAGAAAGGGGCAGTTAGCAGGAAAAAAAAATAAAAAGTAACAGAAAAAGTAAAAGAAAAAAACATAGAGCAGCTACAGCTGATACTAAAAAGCTTCTTTGGAAGAAAAGAAAGATGTCCATTTGCCCAAGCTCTGTATCTAGAAGAGAGAGATGTTAACCCATAGCCATTGCAGAGAGCCTTTCCTTCAGGTCAGCAGCTGTATTTTCCATCTCTCTTGTCATCACTTTCTTCAGCGCTTCCCCTCCGAGCACTTGCAGGTCACTCCTCACCCCACAGCAATTGTTAACGGTGCAGTTTGAGTTCCCGACAAGGAGTTCTGCTGGTAACAGTCTGACTGTTGGATGCTCAGAAGAACTCCTGAAGCACTTTCCGTGGAGAGGTCTTCTATCACTTAAGCATTTTTTCCTTTTTTTTTTTTTCTTTCTAACAGCTCATATTAATGCAGCTTCATGTATTCTCACAGGGCAATATCAAGAATGTAAGTCGAGATGAAAACTTACTAAAAAGAATACAGAGATTTCACTTACTTCCCTCGAGTTCTGAAATGAAGTGTGTAAACAGTTCAAATATTTCCCTTATTTATATATGCCAGGAACTAAAATGGGAAAATGTGTTTATAAAAGAGATTAAATGAATTTGATAAAATCTTTATTGGAATTAGGAGAATATTTTTAGGGTTTTTTCATCTGTAAAAATAAACGCATTTATTCATTGCTCAGTATCTGCCATTCCCATTTTAATGGGGCAGTAGTGCCTATAGACATTCAGAGTTTTTTGTGCTATTGTTTTTCTCAGTCATTCTAGAGCCTTTGCTGAACTATGTTCAGAAAAAGTCTGTGAAGTTTATGCAGCACTATCTTAAAGTTTCAGGGCATGTCATTAGAACAACAAAATACAGATTCTTAAAATACAAATAGCAATTTTTAGTGGGTTGGTTAATGTACTATTAAAGTTTTGTGAATCATTTGTTCATTGTCATTATATGTTATTGGTATATAATTTAGTTGATTAATGTATTAAAATTAATATTAATGAATGCCTTTTGAAGCCATTGTGCAATCTGTATGCATACTAATGAGTATCAGCCACTTCAAATAGACTGGTTGTAAATATTTAATGGTCTCTTCATAAGGAATTAAATTAAACAGGCAGAGGTTTAAGTTTTATTGTCCCAGCTACAGAATACGCCATTAGAGCTGTCTTCAGAGCATTAAAGGAGTAGTGTAAGTGTTAGAGGAATCTTTACAAAACAAATCACCTCCTTTTTTATTTCCTTCCTTTAGCTGGGATATCGGGGAGTGGTCTGAGTGCAGCAAAACCTGTGGCCTTGGTATGCAGCATCGGCAAATCTTGTGTCGGCAAATGTACGCCAACCGCACGCTGACCGTCCAGCAGTACCGCTGCCAGCACCTGGAGAAGCCGGAGACCACCAGCACCTGCCAGCTGAAGATCTGCAGCGAGTGGCAGATTCGGACAGAGTGGACCTCGGTAAGTACGACTGATCAGTTTGGGGCACACAGCCTTGGAAGAAAACAAGAATGTTCTCTCAGGTATTGCTGATCAAGCATGAAACTTGGTTTTGTTTAAAACTAAGAAATGGAATGAAGAGAGATTTAGCAAGAAGTGTGTGTTTGTTTAAAAATCTGTGTGATCGTGACCCTGAAAATTTACTGTTTGTAACCAGAAGGAAACTGAAAAAGAACAACTGTAGAGAATGAAAGCAAAAAATGGGGTGTTAATAGCAGTCAGCATTCTCTGAGGTTGAAGAAAATAGAGCAGGAGAAGGTGGCCTTTCCTTTTAATGGGTTAAAAATTGTGTTCTTTTTCATGTCTCTTGCTTATTACTCTCCAGATCCCAACAGTTCATTTAGCATGGCTGTTGAGTGGAATATACCATTCGAGTTTATGTTTCCCAAATGAATCTACACAGGATACTGTAGAATACCCTGTAGACGGCGAATGCAATTGTAAAACTCCTCAAGTGATTCCAGAGTAGTTCTACAGCTCCCGTGCATGTCTTAATAAGAATAAATGAGCAGAATGTTTCCAACTTCGAGGAAAACACATGGCAATTCTTGCACAGAATCCTGATGCAATCTCTATTTTGTTAAAGTGTTCAGTGCCTTGTGGAGTGGGGCAGAGGACTCGAGATGTGAAATGTGTCAGCAACCTTGGAGACGTTGTTGATGATGAGGAGTGTAACATGAAGCTACGTCCAAACGATATTGAGAACTGTGACATGGGTCCCTGTGCAAAGAGCTGGTTCCTTACAGAATGGAGTGACAGGGTAAGGCTTTCTGTTACCTTTATTGTTGCCAAATCCTCTGAATAAATCTAGGGGCATCAGAAAAAGAAAATATACATACATACAGCCATAGAAGGAATGAGCTTAATCTCTAGAATTATACTCTGTAAAAAATGTCGGTAAAAAAGGCAAGTACAAACAAAAAGTAGTGATGCCAAAGACATCCTGCGTTTGTGGTAGATTGAAGAATCCATAGAAAGGACAAGAGTGTGTAGGTGCATAGCCAAACATCTGAATTTAAAACTGGGTCTGAATCTCGACTTCTTGAAAGATTGGGTAAGTTGAGATTTATTTTTCTGCCTTGTTTAGCTCTGAGTCTCAAGATTCAGATTTTAAAAGTTTTGCTGCTGCTTTTTTGAAGGTAATACGGGTTTGAGGTCTGTTGTCTAGGTTTAAGCTTGATCTATAAAATTATGGCCTTTCAGCTGCAAGAAGACATTCCACATGCTCAGGCAAGGCTGATTGAAGCTTTCTGTGCTTTATGAAGGTGAATATTTTTATTCTAAGAAGTCAGATTCTCAACATGAAAGCAATAGAAAGGGTGGTTATATATCTTGTTTCATGATTGGGCTCAAAGTTCTTTAATAGGTAAGCATGTACTTTCATATGGCTGCAGTCTGCATGGTATTTTGATCGCTCTTGTGGACCAGATTGGGTTTCATTTACAGGCAAATTGAGCCTTCAGTCTCTTTAAAAATCCTGATCTAGCTCCCACTTTTTCTTTGTTGTGGTAGACGAATCGTTTCATTCATCAATTTAAACTGTAGGACTTCATAACTTTACAGATCTATTATTTAGACCATTTTTGATAGCCCTGTCAAAAGTTACTCAGTGTTTTAGGTGCAGAAGAGGATGAGTTTTACAAATAGGACCAGTATTTGTCTCAATTTTAAGAAAGATGATCTGACTTCTGCTGCCATTAGAGGGCTGCAAAACTCCCAGCTTCCAGAAAACTCAAAAAGCTTTTATTGCACAATAAGCACAATAATAGAGCATAGTTGTTATTTCAACTTTTTTGTTGTTCTTGAATAGCATGGCCAAAAAGTTACCAGCTAAAGAATAAGTGCAGTGCAAATGGCAGTGCACTGTTTCTTGTTCTAGTGCCAATGTCTTTTTCTGTTTTATTTTTACAAGTGAGAGAGAAAAAAGGCATTCTAAAAGAAAGAGAAATTAAAAATAATCTTTCTTAGAACAGCTTTTCAGCTGCTGTCAGCTGGTGCAGTTCCATCAAATAAGGTATATATATTCCAGTGAGGACTCTAGCATCATATTTTTGTTCTCTGCAATCAATATTTTGTTTTCTGCAGAACTAAAAGTACAGCTTTGTAGCTGGGGATTTTTTATATTAATTTCTGCATGCAAATGTTATGACTACAGAATATTATTGTGCTTATTTATATATGTTTCATGAGACCTAAAACTGGAGCAGATGATGTGGACAATGTTGGTGCTTTTTCTTACCACAAACTCTTTAAGGTCAGAAAGTAAAGAATGGATTTGGTTATCTTTCCAGTGTATTTAAGTGAACAAATTAGTTATTTCCAAATTCTTGCTACTGTATCTGGCCAAATTCACCAGCACTTCTGCCAGAATTGGTTTTGGAATTTGATTCACACAGAGAATGGAAGGAACTGCTTAATTCGGGGAAAAAAAAGAAATAAAGACAGGTTCAGGCTAGAATGTTCCAACTGGATCTTAAAAGGATTGAGTTTATACCTAACATACCTAAATAAGGTGTTCTGGGGTGATGACCAGCACTGCTCCCCAAAGAAATCTGTGAGATATAGGAGTAGGCAGTAGCTTTACAAAATGAACTTTTGACTATTAGCTTTTTTCTTGTGCCTTTCAAGGGCTGTTTTCTGGGATAGAAATCTTTGTTTGTAGGAAATGTGTTTCTGTTGAAAGACACTTAAGTGAGGAATTCTGTCACAGAATGGAAGTGGCCCTTCCTAGAGACGTGGGCTTCTGTGTGTTTATGTTCCACAAACAAATCTTTAGAAGATGCTTTAAGCCAAGCCACATTTCAGCAATATGCATAGATGGGCAGCCCACAAATGGTTCAGAGAAGCAGCCAAAAGTTCAAATGCTTAAAGAAGGCTTGTTCAGACCTCTGCAACACTACGGTGGAAATCTCAAAAGAACAGACCTTCTTTGTGAGATTTATTACATGTCTACCTCCAGTCCCAGTGGAAATGCCACAGAACAGTCTTTCCCATTGTATTTTGGCATTTCACCTGTGTCTAGAAATAAGAGGTAAAAGAACTTATCATAATTTTTGAGTACTTTGGAGCTTTAAAGTGGTGTTGATCAAACTTGATTACAGCCATAAGAAAAGTCTGTACTTTTCTGAACCCCTTTGCAAATAAATGCTTCATGTCCACTGGTGCACGTGTGACCAAAAGGTGTCCAGAGCCTGTTAGAGGTTGGCTAGGCTGAAACTTTCTCTTTCAGCAGGGGTTATATCAAACTTATATGTGTGAATCTATGTGCTACATGGGGCATTTCAGTATAGACTTGAATAATTAGTAAAGCATTAGGGAAAAACAATATAGTAAAATTAAAATTATGATTGCCTTTACTGCCACTAGATGTTAAATTTCAGGACTTGATGACTGTGATATAGAAGAGCACATTTTCAAACCCATTCACAGTGTTGCTGTGATTACAGTGTGTTGTATTTTCAAAGGTTCATGATAGTTAAAATATTGAAAAAGAAATCTGATTTGGAGCTAAGAAAATTTAACAAACCCTTGCATAGTTTCAATTGATGGAAAATCAATTCATTTTCTTTAATTTCCATTAATAGTTTCTGTGATTTTGAGTGAGCTGATACTATAATTAAAATATTCTTAATATCCCTTTACAATACAGTGTGCATGCACTGAAAAGGTGCAGAATTGTATGTAGCTCTGCCTCCTTCTCAGGATGTTCTGTGTGTGTTTTCTCTACAAATAACCCTTAGCTGTCTTGTTGCCATGTTATCCTGTCTTGTTTTCCCATTACATGTATTTTACATGTACATTACTTGTTCTATAGCCCACCTGTTTCCTCGCATGGCATTGACCTTCTTGGATTCCACTTCTGCATAGATGATTCTTGGTCCATATAATTAATCTTAAGTCAACAGGTCAACAAAAAAGCTTCTAGGTTCCCAAAAATAATACGTTTATTGGATTTGAGTTATTTTGATAACCAAGTATCAGAGCTCATGGTATATATGTTGCACAGGATTTTTTTTTATATGCAAATTTATGGATTGTTTAAATTGTAGTCATTGTTATGCTGCCACCATAGGCATGGTGTTTTGTTTACAGTGGAATGAGTACCTGGTAAAAGGAAGTGATTTATCCTTTAGAAACAATCCTTATTTTTGAAGATGGTGTGTTATTTTTCTTTGAGGTAGATCTAAACACCAGTATTTCCACATCCCCTGGGTCAATCTTGAGAGAAACAGAAATGTTTACCCATTTCAGTGGAAACAAGAGAGTGCAGCTTAAAGTCTCCAGCAGCAAGACTCCCTTATGTTGTATCTATCTGCCTTTTTACTTTACTGCTCTATCTTCTGTATAAATGATAGATAACAGGCTTTGTAAACTGTGTGTTCTTAACTCTCTTTGCCCGTAGACGATCTGGGCGAACTTTTATATTTTTTCACATGAGTTTGAATATGGCTTCGTGTCTCTCGTAATTCTCCTGAGAGATCATATTGTAGTAAAAGCACAGTGTTCCACCAAACTGCATCTATTAATCAGCAGAGATCAATGTGTAAGGCTGGTGAACCCTACTGAGCTTAGAGGCAAAACTGGGTGGGTGGGAGCAGATGAGATGCCTGCAGACACTTCACATGACTGAGTCTTTTGCAGCTGTGATTGCTGAAAAGTGAACTTCTCCTGTGGGTTAGAAGCAGGAAACCTGCTTCTCCTTATTTAGAGAAATGGAAAACTCACCAGTGTTTCCTTCCAACTAACTGGAGCATTCCCCTGTTGCATTTTTGATTATTGCTCCTTGCCATGTCATTTGTTCATTTGTTTCTCATTTACATTGAGAGCATACCTACAAAAGAAGCCAAAATACAAAAACCGTTTACACATTAATGAGATTCTGAGTTTAAAGTAAAATCTAGGGGAGAAAGAAAAGACATGTTGCACATCAGGGAACAAACCAAAAGCCTTCTCTGGATCTCACACTTCATTAAGGAGTAACAGTAATGCTTCTATAGCAGCTTTCAAGAAAGAATTCTAATGTGCCCCATAAAAATTAATGCTTTATTCATCACAATCCTAAAGCTCATCTACAAGAACATGGAGTTTACTGACGAATCAAAAGGTGTAGAACCACTGGCAAGTGCTGTAGCTCCCATTCTTCTTTCACTGTCTTTTCCTTATATCTGGATATCTCTGATAAAATCACTCGGATCCTGGGAGGGGGCAAGGGAGAAGTGTGGTGGGCAGAGGCCACCATGGAGATACAGGAGTTTGTGGAACTGTTTTGCTATTTCTCAGTTCCATTGTTTGCTTGCTTGCTTTCAGTTTGAAGTGAAACCAAGATAAAAGATACTGCTCCTGCTTATTTTATTATGTGGAAACCATGTGGGAGCAAGAGTTTTGCATTCTTTATATGCAAACATGTAATTCCTTTCATGATTTTCACTGAAACACAACCAAGATGGTTTTGAAGGATATATTGGGTAGAAGAATGGCTAAAACCTACAGAAGCTCTTTTTTCCCTCTCCAGCTGATCTCAAACACACAAACTCAGGTTTCCTCTTGCAGGTTTTCAAGTTTGTGGGAACATGCGTCATTTTCCTGGGCTGTTTCTTTGCAGACTATCAGAGGCCTGGATGTTTTGTTAATGGGGATGGAAACCTTCCAGAACTGAGCTGCTGAGGGAGGGAGCTCAGGAAGAGGAGAAATGGCAAACTTCTTAAAAGGAGAGAGGGTATTCCACAGACTAACGTTCCTGAAGGAATTTCAGCCAATTAAAACAAAAAAGTGAAACAAAATATCTTTAATAACAGGACCAGAATAGTGAAGTCGTGGTTTGTGAATGTTCCTTTCAGATTTTGTAACTAAACGTGTCGTACGACATTAGCTTATGTAGGCTGCAGCGTATTAATGCAGCAAGTTAATGGCCAAGCTGGAAACGGTGGGTGTGTCAACTGTAAAAGCAGAGAGGGAGAGTCCGTGAGCCAAACGCTCCCTGCTAAAAAACCATTCTCAGCTCAGAAACGTGCAGGTTTGAGTTTGCTGTGAAAATCCTCTGAGGGTAGTTAATCTGCGCTCCAATCTTAGAGCAGAGGGGTGGGACAGCCCTCTACCTTCCCATATGGCATTTCCTTTGTTATTCGATATGCAAGCGTAGCTCATACATAATCATTTTAAACACAAGATTGTGGATATTTTCTGGGCGATTTTATAGACTAAACTTTTTCCCAGCTCTGTTTGGTTTGTGAAGCATAAAAGCAAATTAGATTGTCAAATGAAAATTACTTAGAAATAAGAAAAGTGTTTGCAGGATAGTTCCCTATGCAGTGTTGCAATTGAGCATACGTTCCTGGCATATGATATGATGAATAGCTACAAAACCTAGTTCTGTACAGTGGGTGTAGGAGAAAGGGAGACTGCGACACCATATGGTCATCGACAAGACTCGTTTATTGAACACTCAGTGTGCACTTTTATACATAGCTTAATTAGGTTCATGCATATTGCAAAGCTTGAGCTCAGGATAGGTTAGCTCTTATTTGCGTCAACGAAATTCTATGCAAGATTTCCCCGTACATGCGAGCGCTTCTTTACAATGATTGGTCAAGACCCCGCGTCCATGCATCTAACTATACAGTGTGATAGGCTAACTAACAGAGGCTAACTAACAGTGCCCACGTGTCCTCACATTTAACGACCGTCCCCCTCTACTTGTTTGTCTCAACTCTTTGCCTCCTTATCTGACTCTCCACAAGATCTCCTTATCTCTTAGTCAGCAGTCCTTCCACCCTTTCAGCTAGGCCTGGCGCCCTTCTGCCCTTTCATCTAGGTCTGGCGCCCTTCTGCCCTTATCTGGCTTGCTCACAGCATGACCACTGGCCTTCAGGAATCCCACAAGTGGGTTTGAAAGGCAGCCATGTGTGGGGCTCTTTTAAACAGCCCATTTATCTAGGAGTAGGCAGTTTGAAGTGGGGTCAAACATATGTTTTAATATATATGAAGGGGAAAAGGTTCACTACTTAGCAACATTTGCATGATCCTTGTATTTTTAAGATAATTTCTTGAATGGAGAGCAACTTGAAAAGGCCTCCTTGGCCATCAAACACAATATGCTGAGGAGATTAGTCTGTTAGATAAAGTGACTGGAAAATTTTATTCTGCGCCAACAAAAAAAGATAAGGTTCATTTGATTACTCAGAGGCATAATTTCAACTTTCAGATACAGGAATAAGCTATGTACAAGCAGTATTCCTCGCTGGGGCTGGATAAAGAGCAGGTTCCCAGCAGCCGCGCGTTCAGTCACTGCTCTCTTGCGAAGATGCGGGTGTCTCTGCGTTGGTGCTGTGCTTAGCCGCGGTGCTGTCGTAGCATCTGTTGGTTCTCCGTTCAGCTACCGCATGTGAAGTCTTTTCCCACCTGTGTCATTACCTGTCCTTCGAATCTTTCCCAATCCAGAGCTACCTGTTCAATCACAAGGGATGTTCTGTTCATTCTGGAAGCAATACGCAGCTGCTCCTAACTAACGACATCTGATGGTTAAAATGAAAGCTTAAATGTCAGTCAAGTGCATGTTTTCTCCTATGTAACACAGTCTTACTTGTGGTTTTCCTTGCATGTGTAATGTAATGTAATTGCTTGTAATTACTTAAATTCAATTATATACGTATCTTTCAGCAAGCTGCACATGTTTTTTCTTTATTTTAATAGTCTAGTCATGAAATGTCAAATGCATTTAAAAAGAAAAAAGAACAGGAAGGTTAAGAAAGAAGTAAGAAATGAAAAAGTGTCTATCATATCATAGTCATTTCTCTGTTTTGTTTTTTTTTTTATGGCAAATTTGATGCTGCCCAGAATGGTGGAATATCAGAGACTTTCCCAGTGAAGTTGATTAATGACTGAGCTGTAAAAGCAGGAAGGTTCATGCTTGTTGGGATTTATCCTGCACACTCTAGGGGTTGCGTGCCAGAGACAGGATAGATGAATAGTTCAAAAGTATGAATCTACTACAACTGGGTAGCAAGTAAAAAGAAATGACTTCTGCATAAATCCAACGACTTTCCCGTGGTTGTTGCTCCTCCTCGTTCCCTCGCGCGCGCTGCGGGACGCACTAAGGGCCGTGTGTTTGTGCTCTGGCCCGCAGTGCTCGGCAGAGTGCGGGGACGGCGTGCGGACGCGCTCCGTGGTCTGCATGACCAACCACGTGAGCAGCCTGCCCCTGGAGGGCTGCGGCCACAACCGGCCCGCCGACACCACGGCCTGCAGCAACGGCCCCTGCGCCGGCAGGCTCGAGTGGTTTGCTGGCAGCTGGACTCAGGTAAGCCCCCCGTCTCTCGCACGTGTTTGTTCTCTGATGGCATCTTCTTATTTAAAAAAAAGTCTTTTTGTGCTATGAAAATGCATGCCCTAAGATATTTCCTCTGTGGTACACTTGGGTAAGTAGTTTCTGTTTTACTGAGCTACTTTTCTTCATCTGCTGTGTTTTACTGAAGAGCTTTCCTAAAACAAGGTTTTATTCTTTTCCTATGTAGCTTTGCTTTTATTTCTCACGTCCTGGCCAAGTTTACTTCTAAAGGAAAAGATGTCAGAAAGCTTCTTAGCGTATTCGAGGGAATGCTAAAGCAATGGATTTGCACCTTTTAAAGTTGAGCCCTCGTAGATCCTGCTTACCCATAGGAATACATATATAGGCCATAGCCAAAGCATAGAGTATGAGCAAATAAAAGCAGTGGCTAAAAACAAAAGCTGGCTTCAGTTTTGTGCTGAATTTTACAGTGATAGGTGGAAAGAACAAAACCTGGTTAGTGGCCAATATAAATTTTTCTAGTATTTTTTCTCCACACCTCAATGCTGCTTCTGATACTGCTGCCTCCAAGTGCAGAGGAATTTCAGAAGTTGTCAACTGGTGCCCTAAACATTTATTGTGTAGTCTACAGAATTCTTTGGACTGCTGGTACTAGCATTTCATCTGTGCGATAGGGAGAAGTCTCTTGCCTGTGCCATTAACTCACTGCGTTTCAGATTCCAAGATGGTTCCAGCTGGTAAGCAGTTGGAAATTAGACTGATACAGCTGAGATGGGGATTAAAGGGCACCTATTACACAAAGGCTTTCAAGTGTAAGTGAAGTTACTTGTATTAAGAGTAATAATAGATTCAGATTTAAAACATAGCTACAATTTTAATAATAGACAAGGTCTAAGCTTTGTTTATGTTGCTCCATGCACGGGAATAGGAACTTTTGCCACCACAGACAGAAGCTTACAACAGGGTCATGACAACTGTTCCCATTCTGTGGATTAAGAAAGTTTCTTTCATTTAAAAATTCCTTTTCTTTTAAGCTAACCACTTCTTTGAATGGGACTACATTTTATATGATGAATCTCAGGGGAAAAAGGTTTTGCTGAATAGTAACTGAAAGAAGAGTCTGACAAATCTGGCCTACCAGCTGGATCCTGACTTGTGAATGCAGCCCCCAAAGTGGAATGACAGTGGGGAATGACCTGCTTTAGAGCAGAGGCTGATTGTTGAGGTAGCATCTCAGCAAATGTTACTCATCCATAACCAGCATTAGAACCATTAAAAGAGAGCAGGGACAGAGCTGTAAAAGTTGTTAAAGAAAACAAGCTTTTTTTTTTTTTTT